GCAATTGATAAAGAAGCAACTCAGAGGTAATGGCTAGTTCTAATAACTTAAAGAACGGTGCGCTATTTGAAACGAACATTTCAGCATCGGTCATTGCTTCTTCAAATGCTATAATCTCCTCTGATGTATAACTTCTTTGATATCTTAGCGGTAACTGACATGATTCTTTGCACATTATAACATATGTGCATATAAAGCCTTTCCGTGCTGTTTGATCTAATTAATACAAACAATCAGTTTATTATTTAGAAGCAGATTTATTTATTAGCAAAAAAAACAAATTTATTTAGCAAAACGATGCTTTTCAGTCTTTCACGTCAATCAATAAAACAGCAGGAATAAAAGTGCAAGACAGGCAGTCACTAACACTGCTCGTGCTCACAATACCTCACGCACAAATAACTACACATTTAAAGGTAGTGTGCTACCTTTGAAAGATTTCCCGTTTTATTTTTCCTAGGATAAGAAGCTTCTGTTTTTACCTAATATCGCAAAAAAATCAAAAATGGGCCTGGAATAGTGCCTTTTTCGCCTAAAAGTTTATCGGTTTTTATATATGTATAACAACTGTAGTGGGCTCACCTGCAAACAGGCGTCGGGCAACAATCGCGAATGCGGCGCACTTGTGACAATAAGCAAAGGTCATTATAGTGTTACGACCATACGACGTACGGGAATGAGTTATCAGCTGTCTAATCGTAGACAACACAATGTCGAGCCTTAAACTGTAAGCCTGTATTGGTATTGTTTCTTAAATTTGGCTGTCGAACATTAATTTGTGGTTTGAAATATGATTTTATGTAAAATAATTGATATGAAACAGCCGTCTCTTAAGTTATGACCCCATTACACCACACACAAGTGGCAGAAATGACAATGATCAGCTGACGCATTTTTCTTGGCCGAAGTCAGAGCGCGCGGCCCGACGCACCACGCGTATTTGGAAATTCCGACCTCGACGAGCATCAGAAGCCACCTAACAGGCGTGTTCGAAACCGCAGGAGATGATGATGAACGGGTTTATCGAAACTTGATTGGATGAGCCTATCGGTAATAGCGATTTTAGTGTGTGCATTTATTGTTCACTAGAGGTACAGGTTTACGCGATAACTGTATGTTTTGATACGTATGATTAACGGATGCATTAGTTTGGGTGTAGAAACTTGCATTTTTTTGGTATTACTTCTGTAGAACTGGGTAATTGCTTTAATTGAACTGTTAAGTATGATGGTGATGCATGCGAGTTGTTCGAGCCCTTTGCATAAGTTAGGATGTTACTCAATTCAACCCTACCCTACCCTACCCTACCCTACCCTACCCTACCCTACCCTACCCTACCCTACCCCTACCCTACCCTACCCTACCCCTACCCTACCCTACCCTCCTCTACCCTACCCTACCCCTACACTATCCTACCCTACCCCTACCCTACCCTACACCACCCTACCCTACCCTACCCCTACCCTGCCCTACCCTACCCCTACTCCTACACTACCCTACCCTACCCCTACCCTGCCCTGCCCTACCCTACCCTACCCTACCCTACCCTACCCTACCCTTACACTACCCTACCCTACCCTACCCTATCCTACCCCTAGTCCTACACTACCCTACCCTACACTACCCTACCCTACCTCTACCCTACCCTACCCTTACACTACCCTACCCTACCCTACCCTACCCCTAACCCTACCCTACCCTACCCTACCCTTCCCTACCCTACCCTACCCCTACCCTACCCTACCCTATCCTACCCTACCCTCACACTACCCTACCCTACCCTACCCTACCTACCATACCCTACCCTACCCTACCCTACCCTACCCTGTCCTACCCTACCCTACCCTACCCTACACTACCCTACCCTACCCTACCCTACCATACCCTACACTACACTATCCTACACTACCACCAACAGTCCAAGTTTCAGCTAAATCGGCCCAGAAACGGCTGAGATATTGCAAAAACAAATTAATTGTAATTACTGGCGAATCCCCTTGGCGAGCGGTGCCTTGTGTCGGCCTTCGTTGTCAAAGGTCAACGACCTCCCGGCTCTGATGCTTTTCACTCAGTTTTCTAAGCGAACAACTGAGCCTAAAGCACGTGCCTTCTGCTCGGCGCCGGTCGCGGCCGCACCACGTGCACACCGCTGAACCCACACCCTCGAAAATTTTATACGACAATTGAGTGCACGCGTCCGACTTACAGCGAAAATTTCAACCCCGTAGCCCTTACCGTTCCCGAGCAATAGCCTGTTGCCGATTCTAGTGTTAACCCTATGGCAGACCACGTGAGCACGCGCCACGGGCGCACCCCTGGCCGCATCGTGCCCAAAATTTAATACGACCTGTTGAACGACGTGACCCACGAGCCGTGAAAATTTCACCCTCGTGCGTCAATCGACGGCGCCGCAATAAGCCTTTTTGGGAGTAACCGGCGGCGGACTTTTTAGGATTTATAAATAGTAGATAGACTAGAGGGACAGCATTACGCGCAGCGTAAAGAGGGACAGCATTACGCGCAGCGTAATAAATCAATTTTCATTAAAATCGGCCCAGTAGCGGCCGAGTTATTGCCAGAATAAATTTGGCGTCTCCTCTTGGCCGGCGGTGCCCTGTTCCGGTATTCATTGCCAAAGGTCAGTGACCTTCCGGCTCTGATTTTGCTCAGTTTTCCAAGCGAAGAAACTGAGCCTAAGGCGCGTGCTCTCTGATCGGCGCCGGCCGCGGCCCAAAATCCCGCAAAGATGCGCCCGCCACGTGCAAACCGGCGAGTGCACCCCCTCGAAAATTTAATACGACAAACAGATGCACGCGTCTGACTTATGTCCAAAATTTCACCCCCGTAGCTCGCACAGTTCCACAGCAATAGCCCGCCAAGCGTGACTGACGCGTTACATACATACATACATACATACGTACAGACATTTTGATTTTTATATATGTGAACTAGGTGCCGAGCATTACGCGCAGCGTAATAAATCAATTTTCATTAAAATCGGCCCAGTAGCGGCCGAGTTATTGCCAGAATAAATTTGGCGACTCCTCTGGGCCGGCGGTGCTCTGTTCCGGTATTCATTGCCAAAGGTCAACGACCTCCGACTCTGTTTTCCCTCATTTTCGCAGCGAACAATCTGAGCCTAGGGCACGTGCTCTCTGCTCGCCGCCGGCCGCGGCCCAAAATCCCGCAAAGATGCGCCCGCCACGTGCAAACCACCGAACCCACCCCCACCAAAATTTAATACGACAAACAGATGCACGCGTCTGACTTATGTCCAAAATTTCACCCCCTCAGCCCGCACCGTTCCAGAGCAATAGCCCGCCAAGCGTGACTGACGCGTTACATACATACATACATACATACATACGTACAGACGTTTTGATTTTTATATATGTAAACTAGGTGTCCAGCATTACGCGCAGCGTAATGAATCAATTTTCATTAAAATCGGCCCAGTAGCGGCCGAGTTATTGCCAGAATAAATGTTGCGTCTCCTCTTGGCCGGCGGTGCTCTGTTCCGGTATTCATTGCCAAAGGTCAGTGACCTGCCGGCTCTGATTTCACCCAGTTTTGCAAGCGAAGAAACTGAGCCTAAGGCGCGTGCTCTCCGCTCGGTGCCGGCCGCGGCCCAAAATCCCGCAAAGATGCGCCCGCCACGTGCACACCGCTGCACGCACCCCCTCCAAAATTTAATACGACAAACAGATGCACGCGTCCGACTTGCGTCGAACATTTCACCCCCGTAGCCCGCACCGTTCCGGAGCAATAGCCCGCCAAGCGTGACTGACGCGTTACATACATACATACATACATACATACGTACAGACGTTTTGATTTTTATATATGTAAATAGTGGTGTGAAATGTGGTTGGGGTACGACCGACAACCCGTCGGGGCGAATTTCGCACTGGGGTACTCAAAATTTGAAGAATTTAAGACGTTTCCATAAGTTTTGAAGGTATGGATAAGTTCTAAAAATCCGGTTCTCCTTATCCGGGTCATTAACTCCATATGGTCCAAGAAAGCTGGCACACTACCTTTAAACGCACTAATTCATTTCTAGGGAAGAGCACAAACACACTCATGGTTGGCTCTAACGGTCGCCCGCATCGCTGAGCGGATATTGACAGCGGTGGGATCCATATGAGAAGAATAACACATGAGTGCAATTTAGTACCTACTCGTATTGTAAATTGTTATCACTTGAGCTGCCTTGAGCTACACTTTCAGGCCTTATTCGCTTTAATCGCCTGAGCTTGTGAACAAAAGTGTAATACAATGTAGTGTTTACCGATTTAACTGGTTCACTCAATTACTCTGCCATCTGCTCTCGCATAATTTTATCGGAATGATAACTTTTAGCGTCAATATTTGGTGCCCGTATGCTCAGTTATCCAGATGTCCATTTGTCATTCCCAGAGTCAGTGCCCATTTGGCCATTTGATCCGTCAACGTAACACCTCAGACCTTTGTTTTTATTACCCGAATTTCGTGTTGCTTTATGTGTATGTCTTTTCAAATCAAGCGTTGTATCTAAAAAAGGTATATTCAGCCCAACGGCCGACATGGTGGGTCCCTTTTCACTGCGTGACAGTCACTTACTACGAGTAGCAACTATCATTTCTAACATCGACTTCATGTGACCGTCTCTCGACATATCTATCGCCTACCGCCGCCATACAGAAACAACCACAAGCTTCGTCCACATTTACCCACGCAACGCACCCGCGTGTCGAATTATACTGGAGACGCGTGACGCTCCGACCGCGCGTAACAAAAGAGCCCTCTTCCGTGCGTGGCTGCCTATCTACACGCGTCACATGGAAGCGGTGGGGCCGACGCGGCGTGACCGAGTGTCAGGTGCCGGCTGGGCTGCCATCGATTAGCCTCAGTCTGGGTGCCTGGAGTTGGAGTGCGCCCGCCCGGCCGGCCGGGGGGAGGGGAGAGGGGACGGGGAGGGGCGGGGCGCTCGTCGGCGGCCCGGCTGCTCCAACGCGGAGCGCAGTCAGTCGCGTGGCAGACGTAGAGGGGGTGGTGTGGTCAGTGCGGTGAGTGGGCTCGGAGTTACTTGATAAAGTGAGCGGCTGTAAGAGCCCTGGAATTGAGGCGAACAGTGCTGAGCGGTGCGCTTCTACCGGGCGAAACGGAACGGAGGCAGAGAGGAAGGAGCGGCTATTTGTGGATGCACTTCAGGTATGGGCCATCATCGTGCGGGTTAATACATAGGTGGCGGAACGGGGAGGGCACTGGGGCACCGTGCCCCCCTTTGATTTCGGCATTTTAACATTAGCCCTACGGGCGTTGCATGGAAAGAATGGGACCAAAAGTCGGTAGTGCTCCGCTCCCCCCACCAACTTAATTGAAGGTGTTCCACCGCTACTGTTTCTTCCGGCCGTGTAACGTGGTGTGGACTGTGGAGCCATTGCAATGTCTAGGGGGTGCCCGTATGCCCTGTTCATGTGCAATTTAGGTTAAGATGACTCTCGTTTATCCCGAGATGGCCGCTGGCTGAGGAATGCGTGGCAATGTGAGTGATCACATCGACCAACAAGAACAATCGTGTGACCAAATCGACGCCTGTGTTCTTGTTTGTTTTCCCAATCGCTGCCGAGGTATTTGTTCTGCTCTGAGCAGAGACGGCTCCATCAGACAGTTTTTTTGTTTGAGAAAGCATCTACCTTTTCCTGCCTTCCCTAACGGCCACAATGATAAGAAGGACTACAAATATGTCTCACATGGGGACATGTGTTTGTTCAAGATACGACATGATTCTCAAGTAAGCCGGCCTATCAATCCGTCTCTCGAAGAGGTGTGTTGATCGTGGGATCATGATGCGCGTTATTTCCATTGTTTGATCTTGAACTTGACCGACCCAGATATTTATTAGGGGAGAGTGGGGTAAGATGCCCAGGGTGGGAAAGACGCCCCACCCCCTCTAGCGGCGAAACAAAGAATCGGACCTGGCAATTAATGTTCTTAGCGTAAAGCGGAAGCCTGCCTTGTTAACTGCACAAAAAATTGCGAAGCTCAGTTGGGCAACGGCTGGCTGGTTGTTTCAGGGTGTAGTTTTATGGCTAACAAATTGTACTGATTTAATGTTACTTCGGTACCTTGGGGTAAGATGCCCCCTGTCCTGATGGGGAAAGACGCCCCCCTAAATCCGTAGGCTGTCCTTCAAACAGCCCGTCAAATCATTTATTAAATACTTGTGATGTAGACAAAAGCCGATCTGGGACTATTGAGAGTCCAGTACGGTCGGGTGCTCCCCATGCCGGTCTCTCGGCCCACATAGCGACTTTTTGGGCGGCATCTGACTCTGAGAGCCCTCACGACGGCCTCTGTGGGCCCCATTATTGGCTCCAGGGCCCCTCACGACATCCTTTGAGGGCTCCCACGTTGGCCCCACGGGCCGCGCTGGCATCGGAGGTCCCCACGATGGGCTCGAGGGCCCTCAAGCATCATGAAGACCTATAAGAGCCCCACAGTGGTCTCCGAACGCCACCACGGAGGCTTGTTTGGCCGCGCTGGACTATGATGGCCCTAACGATGACCTCTGAAGCCCCTCACGACTACTTTTGAGGGCTCTTATGATGACGTTTGGTGTCTACTGCAGGCTCAAAGGGACTACTGATTCGTTCAGGCGATTCACGTGCCCATTTATGTCACTTATAGTGCAGGGGGCATCTTTCCCAACGTCAGGGGGCGTCTTTTCCACCCTGTGGGGTAAGATGCCCCCTTTCACTTCTTCAGGAAAATGCTTAATAGCAAAAAAAATTATAATATTTCAGGCACGAAAGTGTGATATTTTTGGAGAAAAATGATGTCGGCTTCCGTTGAAACTCCAAGTTTTTGCTTTCCCATCGTCATTTTCGAATAATATACGACATAGCAAAACCCTGGGCATCTTTCCCCACTCTCCCCTATGTTTGTTGTGATCGCCATAACATTGTTCAGTTTACCGTTTGGTGCGATTTTTGAAATCGTGATTTCGTGTAACCGATGTTGCGCTTAACTAAGAACAAAAGAAATAGTGCGATTTAGAGCCCAAAATTTGTCGAAATCGTTTCTCTGTTTCGTCCCATTTCAACAGCACATGCTTTGTTCGTAAGGAAAGTGTTGAACGGACTAAGAACTAATTTCTTACTTTGTGCCTTATTTTGCAAGAACTGCAGCGGCTCTTAGAAAGCAGTGAAGTTGAGTCAATGCATGCGCACAGACATTCTAAAATCGACTTAAATTGCCTTGGGGTGATTAACTTTCGTCCTGCTTTGCTCACATTTTAGGATGTATACCTACGTTCTGTCCTAACTTTATCAATCTGCAGCATAGCATATTCTGGCTTGATAGCACGGCCACGGCATTACATTGCAATGATCGCATGATCTGCTACCGTCCAACAACCAACGTGAACAGCATTCAACGCCATGCGGTATTCACTACGGAATGTCACGTGACTGGGCCCTGTTGGCGGACACAGTTCCCTCGGACGTCACGTGATGTGTGCGACATTCAGCAGGGCCGGTCACGTAGCCCGGTAGTGCGACCACGTGACCTTTGTCGCGGCGCGCTATGCCGGCACGTGACCGGAGAGTAGGACCAGGGTGGTGACTGGTGAGGAGGTCGTTCGCTTTTGCGGGTGCCACGAGCTGGCGGTGAACGCACTGGGACGTGCTCAGCTGAGTGGAGTGCACGGACAGTCACTCCGTTACTCGTCACTCCGTGCCGCTCTCCGCCGTATGGGCTTATGTCAGACGTGGCTGTGGAGGCCGGAGGGGCAGCGATGACGAGCTACTCGACACTCATCTCGGTGTATATTTTATTAGACACTGTTCATAAAGGCTCTTTTCACAGAGGTCCTTTCTCACCAAGGCACCTCACCGACCAGAGCTGACCTATTCCTGGTCGTCTGGCAGTTTTCCAGTGTTCTGGCTGGACTGCACTGGATATAAAACAGTCTCGCTGCAGCCGCCTGGACGCCGGCCTATTCAGAGCTGCCGTTTTATATACCTGCACCGACCCATAGCCCGACATTCTAGGTCAATGCCCGGTCAGCTGCCGCGGCTGCAGTGACGTCATGAAGGCAGGACTGCCGGGAGCCATGCCGATCGGCTTAATTATTTACCGAGTCATTATGGCTGAGGGGAGGCGGAAGCGTGCCTGCAGCGCTGGACGGCAGAGGGGATAGGAATTGTTCCTGGAACATGGGAAGGGGAGAGGGTAACGGCTTAGCTGCCCAACTGGTTCGCAATGTAGCCAGTTTACTGCACGTACCGGCACGATTTAAAAATAAATCCAAACAAATTGGGATGTCGAATATCCACATTGCTATAACGAACGTTATATCAGACTCACAAGATTTCAGTTATGAAAAACTCCAAAATGGCATGGGAATCAAATCTTGGCGACACGACTGTTTGTTTATGTCACGGGAATCCAGCTGGCTCCTGGCCCGTGTCTCGGACGCTGGACAGCGCTACAGCGCTGGTCACTGGCCCAGTTCGTGCAGTCTGGCCTGGCGACCATCCGAGCCGCCCGTGATGCGGAGGCCAGACGCCGCGAGAGGTCGAGGAATGTGAATACAACACACCATGATGTCCACACAAACACCGCTGCGGGTGGCGGCGAGGCGCAATTGGCTGCTTTGCGGCACAGTTAGCGCAAAGTTCGGGAGATGGCATGCCTGGTGGCTTCCTGATTACCTTCCGGCAACTCTGGACGCGTGCTGTGAGGAATTTTATACCGATGTGCGGTTCCGGCTTCCGTGGGATATGCTTTCGGTCAGTATGTGTGAATTTACCGCCTGTGATCGGTACTACGAGGGATAATGCCTCGTCGGTCGTTATGTGAACTCGGCTCGGCCTAACTCGGCCCTTATTCCGCCGATATTGCGATTCTGGCTCGTTCTCCCCCTCGTGACGGCCCTCTCCGCTCACTTCAGTCCGTTGGCAAACATCCGGCGGCTGTCTGCTGCCTGTTGATTCTGGGAGGAAATGACCACGGCTCGCGTTCGCCAGCCGACGTCTGGCCCCAAAATGAACCCGACCCGACCCCAGGCGAACCCCATTGTAGCCGGCCACTGCTTCTGGAGCTCGGCCTCAGCCGGACCCCTTTGTTACCGATGCTTCAGCTTCCGGGTTTTCCAGCTCGTAGACATCGTATCCAGGCTGCCAGACAGCGAGACGCAATTTGACGCTGGAGTGGCGGCCGGCTGGGGTGCGAAATGGGAGGCTTGGCGCGCGACCTACTCCCCTCCTCCCCCCCCCCCCCCGCCCCACCAGCTGACCTGACGTCAGGAGGGGGGAGGGCGGATGCGCCCGGCGCCTCGCCAACCACGCCATGGCCTCGGCTGGCGAATGTAGCCGTAGAAGAGGTGTCGATGGTCCACGGTTTCCGATCATCGGTCCATCGGAACCACAGTTCGGTCGTTAGGACGGCTCACTAGCGGTTCGCTGCTTTCGCAATAGCGACAGAAACTTCATGGGGAGCGGCGGCACTCAACGGGCTCGGATTACACAACACCTTGTTCGCTCGGCGCTGCACGCTGTCATTCCCAGGCGGGCGTTGCATCCCCTCTCCTCCCCTCCCCCTCCGCCCCGTGCTATCAGTCCCTGGTCCCGTCGCGCCGCCGCCGCTGCCGGAAGGGACCTTCCGATATCGGCACGGTCACGTGACCTGGGCGGCGCGCTTCTGCAAATGGCGCGTGGTAGCGGGAACGGGTCGACGGGGGCTGCTGTCGACCTGTCAATATGGCCCACCCATTGACCGGGCAGACCCGGCGCAGTCAAAACAAAACGAGTTGAGGAGACCCAGCACGTAAGGTGCAGCAGAGGAAAAAAAACGGGAGAGAGTGAAACTTTGCCTTCTCGTGTGCGTGGTCCGTGACTCCGTTCTGAAGGCCGTATGATGGGTGGAACAATGGACCCAAACCGCGGGGGGGGGGGGCGCCCGGACTACAGTGGTCATCGGTGGGACCCAAACCGCAGGGTCACAACATTGCACTGGGGAAAGTGACTGCACAAGTTCTTTAGCTCACTGAACAAGGGCATACTGCTGGGCGCATTGCATGACACCATTCGCATGCGAGCGGTGTACGATTTACGCGCGCCTTCTGCATAGGTTGTCACTTGTCAGGAACTACTTAAGTATAATTGAATTTGTAGCTAGTAAAGGCTTACATCCATCAGGTTCATAGT